CCCAATAATCCCAAAATAATCCCAATAATCCCAATAATCCCATAATAATCCCAATAATCCCAATAATCCCATAATAATCCGAAAAATCCAAAGAATCCGAATCCGCCGTTTCCCCCTTGTTTGGAATACTATAGCCCAGTTGACTTTTCAATTCCACATGGTGGCCCAATCCTTCAAATAATTGGGCTGAAGAACTGTCTAATATTCAAAAACTCCTGGCTACCCCCCTGTATGGATGCATCCATACATCTTCGAATGTTATCCTATGCAGTATCTATAAACCATCAAGCCTTATGCTATGTGGTACCTAGAGATCCTCAAATCCTACCTACTGACTAGGAAATAGCCCAAAGTAATTAACTGCTTTTGAATTCGGACTCTGTGTATAAGACAGTCCCCAAAGGGGTATGAAAAAACCCCAAAGAACAAGTTCCCATAGGCCTTCCCTATACAGTTATAGACGTATTACTGAAATTTTAGTCTGTAGTACTGTATGTATTAAAGAATCGAATAATGATACTTCGAGCCGAAATTTTGCCCACAGATAGAGCTACTAGTAGCTAGAATATCCAGAACATTTCACGTCAAAAGAATGTTTCCTTCACAAGCTATTAAACTCTCAAAAAAACACTAGGTTCTCGAATGTTTCGTAGTCGATGAAAGATTTTTGAGAATTCAATAACTTGTGGAGGAAACATTCTTTTGACGTGAAATTTTCTGGATATTCTAGCTACTAGTAGATCTATCTGTGAACGAAATTTCAGCTCGAAGTATCATCATTCGATTCTTTAATACATACAGTACTACAAACTAAAATTTCAGTAAAATGTCTATAACTTTATAGGAAAGACCTATGGGCACTTGTTATATTTGAGTTTTTCATACCTCTTTGGGATCTGTCTTATGCATAGAGTTCGACTTCAAAGCGGTTAATCACTTCGGGTGGTTCCCTCGTGAGGTACACAAAGGCTCTCAAAGTCTATCCATGAGGTTCGAATATATCCTGAAAATTTTTCTTGAGAGCGTATCCCTGAATGTTCAAGCACTATCCATGAGCGATACGATCGAGGCACTCTACCGCTATTGAGCTTTGGTCAAGGGGGAAAAAGCTGATTGCCTGATTGCCAATGATTGCCAATGATTGTGAATGATTGCCATCGAGTGTTTCAGTTGTTTTTCGACGGCATAAACTCGAATCAGGTGTCTCCTCCTAATGTTGAGGGTCTTTGCAGTTTAAAATAGTCGGCAATCATATTTGTGACTCTGAAATCCACCATCTTTAAAACACCCAGCCAATTGCGAAAAGTGGCAGATATTCTTCATTTTTTTGCCTAATTAGTTATTTCTGATGGCACTCCAGATTACTCTGTGGACCTTCATTCTTATACATTTTTTTGCGTCAGTGATTGTGTCTAGTAGGTGCATCTATCACAGTCCTTTTTTTAATAAGCTTTGCCATCTTTATATACAAGGGTACTTTTATTATTACAGTGTTATTTTTTTAGAGTTTTTCGACACATAGAATCGACCATCCTTGTTCTGGCTTTAAAATTAAGAAAGAAAAATAATGGTTCTGGTAGGCTGTACTGACTGATGCATTCTTTTAAACCAAAAACAGGCTAAAACATATAAAATGAAGCCTGGCAGAGAATTTTTGGTTGCCAAAAGAGCGACTTTTGACTCTTGTTTTATAGATATCTGCCGAAATCGTCATAATATAGGACTGAGTCTTTTCACTACAGTCCTACAATATTCTGAGAATTTTAGGGGATTTGAAACTACCTTCGATGAGATCGATTTCCGAGGGTGTGGTTGTGACTGTAGGTATGAGTGTGGGTGTGGGTGGGAGGGTATGCCTTTGTGACTCCTCTCGTTGTCTACATCAATCCACACCCGCACCAACACCCATACTTTGATCGTGCTACATGTACTTTAATATTTACCGAGCCATTTCATTCATTGTAGATATGACATCTCCAAATAGCAATGTGTGCGTCTCCGAGCATGAAGCTTTTCTTGAGGTTGTTTTTCTATAGTATTGGGCTATTGACTAGTTCTATATGTGCAGAAGGATTCAATGAGACAGGGCATTTTTTGGATGAGTTACGATTCAAAAACTAGCATCAAGACGTGCCAGTAAAAAAACAGACGATGTCTAGGAAAATTCCTTGATATTTCCTTGCTAGATTCCTACCTACTAGACCACAATTCACCCAAATTCGGAAATGATTTTTTATTAGGAGAGAAAGTTTGTATTGTAGTGAACTTTTTGTGGTCCCATTAAAAGTCTTGCTCAAAAAATAAAAACGTTTCGATTCATATATGGCTCGATAGAGCTGAACGCGGGCTATTAGAATATGTATAGGATGTTTCGTTTTGGTCTTAAAATAAAAGAGAAAATGTTCTTGCAAAAATGAGAACTTTTCACTCTGACCATGATTTTCCGGAATTTTTGAAAACTGTATTTTGCTCATTTCAACTCTAATCCATAATCAAACCTTCAACAATTTATTACCAAAATGATTAACTCATCGAGCTCTATAAACGCTGAAAGTTTCAGCCAATTCTGAGAAAGTCATGTATAAAGTGGTACGCTTGCCGTGGATTCACCCACTATAAGTCATCAATGACTTGCAGAGCTGATAAGGTATTTCAATCATAATCTAGTTTACGGGGACCCCCCTTCCCAAGCCTAAAAGTTTTTTTTAGATTTTTTTTTTATAGAAAGGTGTATCAAGGTCCCTTTTAGGTGTGCTATAAAAACTAGAACCATCCAAGGTTGGGAAGTCTCTGAAAAACCAGGTTTTCTGGAGACATTCGACAAAATTTTTTTTTTTTTTTTTTTAATATAAAGTTATATTATGATGTACGTAGTATATCTATACTATAAGCGAAAAAAAAAATTTTTTCTACAATTTTTTTTATTTTGCATTTTTCTCGAAACTAGTTTTTTGGGTATCAAAAACCAGTTTTCCCCCTTTTTCTCCGCCATTTGAAGTCCGATCCGACTGAAAATTTTTTTGGTGAGGCTTCAAGTGATTTGGGTTGGCCTTTTTTTTTTGGATACCTTCTACCAATCAAGTTTGGCAGGCTTCGCAAAATTTTTAAGATCCAAAAAATCTAGAGATTTTGCTAAGTGCTCAGTATTTTGGTTCTCCAGCCTGAAGTATTTGGAATTTTTGAAAAAAAAAAAACGGCCACCCCGATTGGGTCCGTCTACCCACAGTAAAAATTTCAGCTCAAACGGATGAAATCTGTGGATTTGCGGGGGGGAAAACTTTTTGCAAGTTTTTGACCTTGGGGTCTCTGGAATTCCATGAAGATGACGTCTGGCAAATTTGTGTCCATGACAACTTTTGCTTTACTACTCGAGGTCTATCTACCCTGCAAGTTTCAGAAATTTTCGTTCGGCCATTTCTTAGAAACGCGGGAAAGGGGGGGTCCCCTTAACCCATGAAGACTAATTGATTCAAAAAAAATTATTGAAAACTGAGCATTTTTTGCATTATCACGAGGAAAAAAGCCTTGAAAATATTCTGTCAATGTTCTACAACAGATAGCAACAAATTAACTTCTATTTTCTAGTCTATCGATAGCTTACGGATTAGTTAAACGATTAATAAGTTCGATGAGACCACCAAGAGATTTTACTAATTGCAAAAATAAGTATTTGATGTAAACAACCGATGATGACGTTGTATCTTCTTCGGTTAAACGAATACAACGAAGTACCTAGCAGAAAAAAGAAACATTATGTCTTTATTTGATATTAAAAGTTAATACATACATTCCATGAAATCAAATTCGTAGCCAGCAAGCATGCAAAAAATTTTGATACATGTTTCTTTTGGACATTTTCAAGATGATGAATTATTTCATATTGATCTTGAAAAGCTTTTTCAAAGCATTCGACGTATTCTGTTTTTAGATAACAAAGATATTGGCCGAGTAAACCAATAAAACGTTCAAATCTTCGTCTGTGCGCACAACAATGAAGAATTATCTGACATACTTCCATCTACAAATTAGATATAGTCATAAATAAACACTCTTCTTTCATATATACTCCCGAAATAAATAGTTAGACTCTATATTTTGAGTGTATTTCCGCTATAAAAACACTTTTTTAAAAAATTACTTACACATTCTGCAAGCCCGTGGAGTTTTCTATCACTCGGTATGTTTATGTGTTAGTTTGCACTTATGTGCTACAAAAATAAATAGAGTGAAATAAAGGCATCCTAATATCCAGATTCCCACAAACATGATTTTTTTCACTGTCATCATAATTAGTTTTTTGAATGTTTTATCACTATAAAGTTATCTCTATAGAAAATTAATCATGTAATCTGATAGATCATGAGATTCTCTATCATCCTGTATATTTGTTAACCACCTTGCATCTATATTGGAGAATAATTCGATTATTACCTATGCACAGTACTTGACAAGCTCTAAAAAGTATCTTCTTTTACTCTCTCCTTCGTTTTTTGTTTCAAAAGTTCACGATGATAGGGAATTGCAAGCCCGATCAGAATCTATAATTTCTTGTTAAAAAATTTATTTTCATAGTGACTATATTTTGCAGAAAGGAGAAAAGCAACGATTTTTGAGACCTGTCAATTGAAGATGTGTTCATTGTACCGAAATTATTTTTCAATCAGTGAAGGCAGAAAAAAGTAAATATACAGGGTGATAGACAATTTGATGATCTATCAGATTACATAATTACTTTTCTATAGAGATAATTTTATAGTGATGAAAAATTCAAAAAACTAATTATGATGACAGTGAAAAAAATCATGTTTGTGGGAATCTGGATAATAGGATGCCTCCATTTCACTCTATTTATTTTTGTAACACATAAAAGCAAACTAAAATATAAAAATACAGAGTGACAGAAAACTCCACGGGCTTGCAGAATGTATAAGTAGTTTTTTAAAAATATGTTTTTATATTGGAAATACATTCAAAATGCAGAGTCTAACTATTTATTCTGGGAGTATATAAAAAACATCATACTTCTCGTCCAGTAGACGCATTCATTTTAAGTAGTTTATGTGTACATTTGTCAGCACTATAATGTAACTCAATTGTTAGAAACATTCTACGAGTACGTTTTAGTACATTTCTTCTTGTTTGGTCGATGATTGATTGTTGATTTTCATCTAAAAAAAACAAAATTTAGAATTTTTTTGAGCATGGGAATGTTATGTGGCTAACTCTAGATCGTCGGCTAGATGATAATCGAGAGATGAGTATGATTCCATTATACCTCTTTTATTCATGAAAAATCATAGGCTATATATAGGATAGCGAATCACTGACCTCTGGCATTTATTAATCGAGTGATCGAGTTAGAGCGGTTGGAATAAATCCCAACAGACATAATCCATATGAGAAGATGATACATAGAGAAAGAAAGGCAGAGACCAAGCTAGAGGTCTGCGTAACCACGATTTTTGGTCACGGTCACGAAAGAATTGGTGACCACTTTCAGGTCTCTAGACTAAGCATATGTGACAGACAGAAATAGAAAAATCCAAATATGTGTAACGTGCGAAAGAAGAAACGAATAAAAGAGAACAAAAGGAAAAGAGCAACTGAGCGACAAAAAGAAATACGTATGTGAAGAATAGAATCAGTGACGCTATAATCAAACGGATTGAAGATCATAGCAGAAAAATTATATTTACTTTCTATTCGATTATCCTGTCTTTCTTCTTCATCAGTTGATGAACTGAATCTTGATTCATCTTCATTAACATTAGTTTCATCCAGAATTCTTTGACTTTGCTTGTATTTTTCTTCATTTTCTTGATATTGTTCATCATATTGAAACATATCTAAAGGAAAAAGTGATAAATAAAATATCTAATTTAATGCTACTCATACCAAGCATTGGTCCAGGCTCACATGGATCATTTAATAAAATCGAATGTTTATATTGATCATCTTCATCAACTAAATCAAGACCGAATGGTATAGATGGATTTGCTTTAAATTGATCTATTCGTATAGCAAATAAAAGTTCAATCATATTTAGTATACGTGTATCTAATGATGATTCATGAAGTAAATCTCTTAATGTTGAAAAATACGAATCTAATATGCGTGGATAAACTTGAGATAGTTTTTGTTCACATTCTTTTATAAATTCAATGGCTAATTCAACACTATCATCTGAATGATTTTTCAGTAAATGAGCAAGCATTTCAATTGCAAATATGTCAAGTAGCTAAATAGAAACAACCAAACAAATACATAATCGAATTGTTTTTGTTTATTTAAGAATACATACCACATTCTGATTGATAAGGTGTGCAATAAATATTCTTGTTGCTAAACAACTGCTTTTATCATTTTGTAAATATGATTGATGAAATGATGGTATTAGACGTTTGACGACCAATTCACCAATCCGTGGAATTTTTGAATTGATCACGGAAACTAATGCTGCATACATTGGCGTATTAAATGGTGATTCTATTTGTGCTTCAATGACAGCACGAACAAGTAAACCACGCCCACGAACAATATTATATTGAAATAATTCACTGATAATTATTGGTAAATTTGATGCATTCATTTTATTAAGTTGATCATTTATCTTTTTTTTTCAAATTTTCCCATGCTAAATGTTGATATTCAATTGTTGATGAATCTGTTAATGATGCCTAAAAAGAGAAAATAAACTAGGAATACATATTGATGATTTGAAATAGTCATACTTGTACAAAACGAAATTTAGCAGGTGGTTCATAAAGACCATCGGTAGGTGGCAGTTTAATAGATTTTGCTTGAGATGGAGAAGATATTGAATCTCGACGAATTCGTTCATATGATCTTTTACGTCTTGGAAACTCTGATGATGAACGATGACAAGATGAAGATGAACTTCGACGAGATCGTTTACATGATTTTTCACGTTTTGAAGACACTGATGGTGAACGATGAGTAGGTGAAGATGAAAATGAATTTCGACGAGGTCGTTTATGCGATTTTTTACTTCCTGAAGACGCTGATGGTGAACGATGATGACATGACGATGATAGAGAATAAACACGACTTTCATTTGAATTTGACATTTTATCTATCTCAAGTGAATTGTTAAATGCGAATATATAAGGCTTCAAATAAAATAGACACATGAAAACAAACGAAAGGAATGTAATTGGCTTTTTTGGTCACACCAATTACACTTCTTGATTTAGTTGTTTTTCATTCGTCTGGTATGTTTGACCACTAATGGATGGATGGATGGGTTGAATATGGTTAAGATAAGCTACACTCACACGCTACACACAATTTTGTGTGTGGCTTATCCTAGCTAGTTTAAACCAATAGGATTATTTTCCATTTTTTATTCTCATCTATCGAGAAATTGTTTGACATATTGAAAAAATGTACACAATTAAACTTATATTTGTTTTTTGAATTTCAATATATTTTTGTTAATGAAATACTTATGGTAGCCAGGCAAATAAAAAAGCCAATAACATATGCGCTAGATCGCATTTCACTGATATCTTTGAAATGAATCCTTCGTAGAGCAAATTTCTAGTTGATAACTCAACAGCAAAATCGAATTGAGTATAATTTCTCATTGCTCTAGAAACTACAATCATTATGTGAAGAAATTGCTCTCTTACTCATGGCAATTCTATGGCATCTCTGATTCATTCGAAAGAGATCTTTAAAATACTTTTGACTTTGAATGCATCAGTATTATAACTCACATCTCTAGAACTCTTTCTGGTTCTTTTATTATTCGCTGATCATTGAATATTTTTAATTGAGTTAAACAACAATGAACAGGTGTCGAAACGGTATTTGTTTGATTCTTTATTACTGTTTGATTTCAATTTCTCCGTTTGTTATTTACTGTCTTTCAATAGCTTTCGTTTACAAATGACTGTGCGTACATTGATAGTGATACATTCACTATGATCGTTTTCTTGGTGATTTTTTTTAACATGATCGACCGGTAAAAGTGTAGAC